AGTAGGAATACTGACCCACGCGGGGATATTTGGACGACTGTGTGTTTGCCCGCCTTCTTTGCATTTGCTTCTGTGATTATGTTCACCGGCATCAATACTTACTAGAGATGCTAAGCCATTAGTGGGCACGGTGTGGCTGCCTAATTTTGTAGAGCATCCAGTCTGGACCCACTGCCTCTATAAATGCTTCCTCGTGGTGACAATGATAATGATAATGACAATGATAGTAATCGCAGCAGTGGCGCCCAGTCTCGAGAACCCAGAACGCCATGTGAGGGGGAAACCTTTGAACACTTAGGATCTAAGGACAGTGAAATCATTTGACCCCAGAGGGCTGAATGTTTCCTAGTCCACCCCTGATCACGATCTAACTCTCCACCCTTCAAGGTCCAGTTCCAGGTCTGTTCCCTCATAAAGCCCACTGAGTCCTGCTCAGGCCTCCCTCCCCCTAAATCCGGACCCTCTGGCTGGTGCACTGCACTTGAAACTTGCAAGGAGTGACCCGTGACAGTGCTTACGTTATTATGCATGTGTGTGCCTGTGTGTGTGTTTGCGTGCAACGGTAAGGGCTAATTACCCGAGAACTTGCTTTAACACAAGCGCTGTGCTAAGCAATATACCTGTATACACTCCATCTCCCCAGCTCAACCGTTAACTCCTTGTGGCTTGTGGGCAGGGCAACGGCTGAGATCGGAACTTGTTTCTATTCACTGCCCCCCTCCCCCGCCTCCCAGGAGAGCTTAGGGCACATAGAAAACATTCAATAAACACTTTTTGGCTGCTGGCAAATCCTGGGAAATTAGTAGAGCTCACATTGGAAGGCACGTTGAGGAAAATGATACTGGAATCAGGTTCATTGGTGAATATTTTTGGACTGTCTGCTATACAGAAGTAACCCATCTCGGTTGTCATTAATTAACTGGTTATGTAATATGGCCAGAAGAGCGTGGGGCTGGCAGTCCAGAGATGTGAATCTCATCCCACTTCTGTGGCCAGGGCAGAGGGCACCTTGGATGAGTCTCTTCCTCTCCCTGGGCCTTAATAGCCTCAAAAAAAAAAAAAAAATCGGACCGGATGTCTGCAAGCCTCTTTCCAGCCCCAAATGATGCGATTTTATGACTCTATTTCATAAATATACCCACTTCTTATTTGTGACATAAACCCCTACAGAAAAACAAAGTCAGTAATAAATTATGAAAAAAATCGGGTGCCACGATCATGTGCACTTTCTAAGGGTGGATTCAATCAATTCCACCCCTGCACGCTGCCTGCCTCTCAGGGCGACAGAAGATTCAAGGCTGTCAGTGCAGCAAACCAGGCAGTCTCTCCCCTATAATTGTATTGACAGGATATCAGCTGAGTTCCGAAGGCAGGCAGGGTGCACCCTGACAGCTTTTGTGAAGGAGCCTTGAAGGCTATTGTAGCAGGATCCTATGTTGAGTCACAGAATTCTGGGGGAATGGGAATCAAGCAGAAAGAAGCTTGGTTCTTTCTCTGTTTAATTTCATTCTTCCCAGAGAGTCACATTTGGAGGAACACTGGGTAACTGCGCGTCACTTTATACAATAGAGTCGAAGCCCTTTCTAATGGAAAATATTTACTTCTTTTTTGCGGCCACATAAAACACCCGGCTGATTCAATCAGCCCCACTAATAACCGGTGGGCTTGATTTTAAATGAGGCAAGGAGTTGTTGAGCATTTGTAGATGAAATACCGGCTTGGATGTCTGAGTTTTTCACTTTTCACTTGGGTTACTGTAGCATCTTACAGACACGTTTTTGAATAACTGATGTGCATCCCTGCTGGTAAATTCCACGGGTGTGAAATAGCAGTGTTGGGTTGGTTCAGACGGTGTGTCTGCATTTTCAATTAAACAAATCCTGGTCCTCTTCACTGGAGAAAACAATTTGAGCAACAACCGCCCCCCCCCATATGGCGGAATCAATGACTATTTCTAAGGCGGTATTTTTTTCAATATAGATGCAACCTTCAGGTCCAGACTTCGACAAAACAAGAATATACTTCATCCTCATCCCCTTAAAGACACCCTCGGGATAGGGCACTCTCGCTTCTGCCACACTCGAGAAGGTGCACACTCACATGGGGGTCTAGAAACGTGGGCTTGTGGAAGAAATCCACAAGCCGAGACTCAACAGAATCCCAGCGATAGATTTTTAAAAAATAGTTTTTAAAGCCTCCACAATCATGAATGCTTTCAAATCTTCTTTGCTTTAAAGCTGAAAATCCCAAAGTGTTTTCGTAATTTAAGTTTCATTTAAATACAGGAAGCTGTTTGGAGTGGGAAAGTCATGCTGGGCTGGGAGCCACTGAATGTAGCTTCTGACCTAGGCTCTGCCACAGCCTTGGGCAAAGAGCCCACCACAGATGGCCTCAGTGTACCCATCTGCAAGGAGGGGTCTGGAAAAGGTAAGAGTCAAGGCTCTGTCTGCTCTCAATGTCTCTGCAACTTTAATTTAGATTGGGTTTTGGTGGGAAATCTTGTAGCAGTGGTAAATATTGAAACGTGGACATAATCTTAACTGCTACAGAAGGGAGCTTAGAGCCCATCAAGAGCCAGAGGGAGGCAAGTAAGGAGGAAAGACTAGCTGTCTCTGACCTGAGAAGAGCCAGGCATCATCCCCGGAGCGGGCCTAGAAGTGGTCCCCTGCGGCTCAGGCTGGGTCGCCACTGGCCAGGGTTGTCCTGCCCTTCCTCTCATGCCTTGAAAACAGAACTCCTGGCTATGGGTCAGTCATCTGCGAATCTTCCAACCCTGAAGCGCAGGTTCAGGAATTGGGGATTGAATTCATTCTGGAAGCTGTTCAACTAGTGCCATCCAGAGGCCAAATACTGTCCTTCTTGAGAGATAGGGTGAGCAAAAGAAAAAGAAAGAGGGGAGGATCTTACTCATACGTGTATATTATATTTATGGTATACATACATACATGTGTGTACATATATACATAAAATGTACATGTATGTGTAGTACATGTGTGTATATACATGCGCATATACCTAGAGGTATGTGTGTGTGTATATGTGTGTGTATATATATACAGTTAAACCCTAGATAAGTCAGAGGGTCAGGGGTGCTGACTCCGGAGTGCTTGAAACTCCATTATAATTTTTTTTACGTGGTCTCCACGCCCAATGTGGAGCTTGAACTCACCACCCCTGAGATCAAGAGTCACATCTCTACCCACTGAGCCAGCCAGGCGTCCCACCACTCCAACTCTTGACTCCCCCAAAACTTAACTACTAACAGCCTCCTGTTGAGCGGAAGCCTTACAGCCAACAGTCAGCTCACACATATTTGCTATGTTATATGTTCTATATACTGTATTCTCACAATAAAGTAAGCGAGAGAAAAAAAATGTTACTAAGAAAATCAAAGGTGGATGTTAAGGAGGGCACATGATGTAATGAGCACTGGGCGTTATAAACACCAATAAATCACTGACCTCCACCTCTGAAACCGATAATACATTGTATGTTAGTTAATTGAATTTAAATTTTAAATTTTTTAAAAATAAACTGAAACAACAACAACAAAGAAAATCAAGGAAAAGAAAAAAAAACCATCTACAGTACGGCACTGTATTTATTTTTTTTTAATCTGCATGTAAATGGGCCTGGATAAGAGCAGATCCACATCATTCAAAGGTCAACCATATCTAGCTTGGGGTGGGCATCTCACACTAGTGATGCTACTGATTCACCAGGGAGAATACCAGTAACTCTACAACGCTGTTTATTTTATATGTCAGTAGAACAGAGCTGGCCCACTAGTACCTGCCTGTGAAAGCAACCACCTAACCCTAAAACAGCGGCCAATCAGAGATGGAGGACTTGATTCTCCCCTTTATCCCAGAAAGGTAAGCCCCATTTGTTCCATCCGTCTGCGGAGAGTGGCCCTCCTCACCTCGATATAAATAAAGGACCTTGTTCCACTTGGCTGGAGGCGGGTGAGGTGGGGGGGGATGCTGAGAACAGGAGCATAGTAAGTGGAAGGGTGCTAGTGTGATAAGGCAGCTTGGCGGGGGTGGGGGGGTGTCAGGAACAAAGTTTGGGGAAGGCAAGAGGAGACAGTCAATGTTTTCATAGAAGGCAGTGAACTCCGCTAATTCTAGCAAGATGTTAAGAAAGCCCAGATTCCCTGAACCAAAACAAAAAAACCAAAAACCCACCAAAGAACAACAAAAACCTCGGGGCTCTAACGAGCTCTTGGCCTTGATACATTGTTACTGAGTCGGTGGTTACCGCGGCGCCACTCCCGGCTGCCGGCATCGCGCGCATTTCTGAAAGCGCACTGCCCCCCAGTGGCACAACACAGACCTGCTCTCAGACCCGCTCCCCGAGGGCCAAACCTCAACTTGACTCTTCCTGTGCCCCGGGAAGGCGTGGCGATGCCACTCCAGCGTTGGGTGACCGCCAGTCCCGAAACCTCTGAAGTGAGAGAGCATGCAATAAAGGGGGGGGGCGATCTGTCTAAAAAGCCGCAGCTCCCGCCCTCGTTCGTGCCTGCGAGCCCCCCAGGGCAGAGATGCGCGCTCTTTTCTCTTCGGGCTGTAATTCTGGGTGAGAGTATGACTGGCTGGAAATTAACTTGTGAAGTGATGCTTCCAGGAGAGATACAGAACTCTCGCTGCATCCTAGCAGCCCAGGCGTGCGGGGGGAAAGAGGGGGCCCGCACCCCGAGAAGGACATAGTCTGGGTGCGTGTTCCCTGTCGATCACCCTGTGGGCTCACCGGCGGGCTCCCGGGTAAACAGCAGCAGCCAACCCCGCGGGCTCGCCGCGTGTCAGCCGCTGTGCCAGGGACCCCCGTTCAGTCTTCCCCATCACTCCTTTTAATGAGAGCCATTACCATCCCACCTTGAGGATTAGGAAACTGAGGCGCAGAGAGGCGACGCGACCTGCCCCGGACGCGTGGGGATCCAGGTCTATGTGGACCAGCGAGGGGGCGAGCGCCGAGGGGTGGCGGGCGTGGGGGCGGCTCACCTTGACGATGAGCGGGTTCTGAAACATGGAATCCCGCACCACTCCCAGCCTCTCGTTCTCCATGCCGGGTCGGATGTCGGCCACGGTCAGGGGCCGCCGCGGGGGCGGACAGATCTGGCTGACCGTGCGGCGCACCGGCTGCTTCTTCCATCGCAGCGGGTCCTGGCGGGAGCTCTTGGCCTCCGGCATCCTGAGGTTGCGGGAGGTCCGCGAGCGGGCTGGATGGGGCGCGCTTCCCTGGGGCGGAGGGGGGAGCTGAGCTCGGAGGGGCTCACCACCAGTCCCGGGCCGCACCACCCGGGGCACCGGGGTGGGCCCCAGATGCCTGGGCCCCTCCGGAGCGGGAAGGGCCCACTTTGCACCGCCCCCTCCTCGCAAGGAGCCCTAAAGCCCTATATAGGCCCCCTGGTTCCTCAGAGGAACTTCTGTGCACCGCTCTGCGGATTGGGAACGGACAGAAAATCAAGACCACCCCTTGAGAAAGAATGGAACTGTCTGTCTCTATGGCGACGGGACGCCAACGGCGCCCGAACTCGTGGCTTGGTTTCTTCCTTGAAACTATTCATGGCCACCAAAGTGGACTTGCTTAGAGTTTTCTTAACTAGATATGAGAAAAACCCAAGAATCGCCACTGGCTTGTGATAAAAGCGGGGGTTCTAGAAGGGCATTTACACTTGACTTCCAAAGCAAATATACCTGCCTCCACCCACCCTACTCCACTCATGACCCCTTATCATTCTCCTCCCCTCTACACACACACACACACACACACACACACACACACACACACACACACACACGGCTAGTGCGTTAAATGTTTCATGATGAAATAGGGACCTTCATTCCAGGCTTGATGTTACTGCTAATCCACTTGGGTGATCTTGAATCAGTCACCCTCTTGCATCCTCAGTTTTTTCTCCTGTGAAATGGGTGAGGAGGAGAGTCTAGAGTTGAATGAGATTAGTAGTACCCAACTTTGTGCAACAGAATGGAGGGAAATGGAAAAATACAGATCCACTGACTTAGAATATATGGAAATGAGATCTGGGAACCTGCATTTTTAAAACGATCTCCTTCTTCCCATTTGGTGGTTGTTTTTTTTTTAATTTTGAAAAAAGTTCAAAACTACAGAATAATTGAAAAAAGAGTACAGTGAAAACCCATATAGATTTCACCTAAGTTCACCATGCACAGACACACACTACAGAATCATCTTGAAAAAATCTGTTGACAGCACCCTGTTTGATCCTAAACCCTTCAGCGTGTATCTATCTGCCAAGAACAGGGACATTTCCACATTACTACAGTGTCTTCATCATGTCCAAGGATCTTAATATGACATAATAGTAGCGCCTGTCTGTATGCCAAGTTGGGAATCCACACGTTTTAAAAGCTTCCCAGGAGATTGGCACAGTGCTTTGGGAACCGCTGGCCTGGATGATCTCTAGTTCCTTCTAGTTCCAGCCTCTTGTGGGTTGGTTCTGTCCTCATCATCTTCATTAAATATGCAAATACCCACAAGGCTCTGGGTAAGAGGGTTTACCAAGGGCAAGTTGCACCAACAGCAAACTTGCATTTCAAGGCCTTATAGACCACCGTGGACAATACCAGCACTGCATTTCCACAACAGATGAGACAGACTTCCGGTTGCTCATCCAAGACTGGAGCAGCTGTTGGATGGTGGTGGTGTGTGATGTGGTATGTACTTATGTACTTATGATTTCTCCAGCCTGTTTTACTTCCAGACTTCTGCAGAAATACAGGTTGTGCACTTTAAAAAAAAAAAAAGATTTTATTTATTTGACAGAGAGAGAGAGATCACAAGCAGACAGAGAGGCAGGCAGAGGGGGAGGGGGAAGCAGGCTCCCCGCTGAGCAGAGAGCCCGATGCGGGGCTCGATCCCAGGACCCTGAGATCATGACCTGAGCCGAAGGCAGAGGCTTAACCCACTGAGCCACCCAGGTGCCCCTAGGTTGTACACTTTTAATCAAAACTGCTTGGCAGCTCACACAGAGGAAGTCAGGTGGTAGACATAGGTGACGTGCAAAAGAAAAATTAAATTTCCTTATTACCTACAGCCCACTGACAAGTCCTTGAAACAGGCAGAGCGACATTCCTCCAGGACTCAGCCGCCTCGATGTTACCACTCGGCTAAGGGCAAAGGGCAGTCTTAGCCCAACCCCCAGGATCCTAGAAGTCTACTTTAATATATAAAAATTCCTTTGGAAACTTCCTTTATCTCCATCCCCCAAGATATATGTTTGTTGGCAACCATCCCTGAAGCATATGACCTATCGATATACATCTGAAGGGTCTCATGACTCGTTTTCTTAGACAGTAATAAATGATCTTTCCCTAACAGCAACTAGCATCCTCAAGGTCCTGGAAACTGCTTCCAAAATTCCCTAGAGACTTAGGCTAGCCCTAACCCCCTCCCAACTTGAAAGTATATAATCTGCCACTCCTCGTTGTTACGCCCCCCAAAATAGGTCCGTGATTAAAGGTGCGAGACTGATATAAAGTGAAGGTCAAGCAAAGCTTTATTTCGCGCCAAGCATCAAGAATCAAACTGACTGGCCAGGGCCGCGCCTCTTACAGAGAGGGGTGACCCTTCTCAGTTTCACAGACTAGCTTTTAAGGGCAAAGGCCATGCGGTCGGGCCTGGCCACGCACGGGTGGACAATGAGATTGTCCACACACAGGAAACTCCACAGTGATACTAGGTGACCAAATGAATTACAATTTACCTTAGTAGACATTTGATTTAGCCTATCACACCTTGGTTAGGATTGGCGCTAAAAGGCTCCCACAGGGCGGGGGCCCATACTCCTTGGTAGCTAGGGAGACAGTGTGCAACAGGGCACTGATCAGAAGTCTCCACCTGGCCTGACCCACCCCTGTATTTGAGCTTTGTTACCTGGAGCTGGTTTCTGGGACTTGTTTCTAAGTAAGTCCCCTGGGGGAAGGGGAGCAGGGACAGTTTAAGGGTTAAACAACGTTATTGTTTTAACCTTGATGGAAGCCTCTTGCCAAATAGGTCCTTACACTCATCACCCCAGTGCAGTTCTTTCTGCCCACAGGTCCTGTTCCCATGCTTTTAAAAAACCATCTCTCTCTCTTTTTTTTCCGCACCAAAGATATGTCAAAAATTTTTTCTTGGCGGTGGGCTTGGAACCCCAACATGTTTCCTACATCACAGGGAGGGGCAGGTAGTGGAGTAGTGGAGAGAACACAGGTTTGAATCCTGCCAGGCCACCTAAGTCCCCTTGGACAAGATACAGGAAGCCTTGGTTTTCTCATCCAGAGGGTGTGGCTGATAACACCTAGTAAATAATAACAATCCCACGATACCCACGTGGGGTTGTTGCAGGATTCAGGGGAAAACTAGCTGCCAACATGGTTATGTTCACAATTCAATGAGTCTAAATGTTTGAGTGGCTTATATACCGGCCTCGACTTAAAAAACTTTACTTTGAACCATAAGTCAGGCTTCTTCAGGGCGCAGTTGCACCGGGAGGACTGGAATACACGGCTCCTTCTAGCTTCAGGCAAGCGTAACCCAGCAGCCTCTGCCCAGCGCCGCCTTCCCCGTCCGGCACCCTCCGCGGCACCCACTCGGCTCCAGCTGCCCTGGCCGGCTTCCAGCTCCTCCCGCGACCAAGTGCAGAGCCGTGGCCCTTGCTCCCAGGCTGGAACAACCTTCCATCTAGACTTCTGCTCGCCGTCTTCGGTTACAGCTCAGCTCCAGGCTACTCCTCGAAGAGCCTACCCTTCGGTCTGCAGTGGCATCGCTGTCGCCTCGCTCTCCCGCACAGCGCTGTTTCCCTTTTCTCCTCTCCCTGCAGGAGACCTGACCCGGTCCTGCTCGCGGTGTCACGTCTTCCCCAGGTCCGGAGCTCCCCGCCGGCTTCGGTGCTGCGCGGGCACAGGGCTCCGCAAACACGGAACTCGGCGGGGCGCGCGCGCGAGCGAGGACGCCAGGAGGGGATTCGGTCCGCTCTCTCGGCTTTGGGACCACGCTCCATCCCACCCTCACGCGACTCCCCGACGACCCCCCGGAACGAAACCCGTGGGCTACTACGCCTGCGTCACGTCGCGGCGGCGGGTGTGTTGCCATGGCAGCGTGACGCCGAGGCGGGGCCGGAAGCGTCGCACGGCTACTTCCGCTTCCACCTGGGCAGCACTTCCGGATTGGGAGAAAGGTGGCGGCGCTTGGCGCGGTAGGTTGAAAGCGCTTTCCGGGTTTTCGGTTGTTGGAGTTTATTTGATCCGCGTGTGGAGTCCAAGGTGGGTGGTGGTGTCTTCGCCTCGCAGAGCCGGCTTTGGCGCAGGTCTCCAGGGTGGGGAGGCAGCGGAGAGCCTTCTAGAAAGTGGAATTGTGTGCTCCAAGACCTTGAGCCAGGGGAGGATTGTGGCGGGTTTGAGGAACCCAGAAAAACGCGTTGTGTGGCCAGACCACAGCGTTGGACGGGAGGTTAGAGACGAGGCTGGAGGGGAACACGGCCTGACCCTGCCGGGCACTGTTCCCCGTTAACTGTTTGTTTTTTGTGGTTTTTTTTAGGATTTTATTTATTTATTTGACAGAGAGAGATCACAAGCAGGCAGAGAGGCAGGCAGAGAGAGGGGGGAAGCAGGTTCCCTGCTGAGCAGAGATCCCAATGCGGGGCTGGATCCCAGGATCCTGAAACCATGACCAGAGCTGAAGGCAGAGGCTTAACCCACTGAGCCCCCCAGGCGCCCCCTCCTTAACTGTTTTTTACCACATCGTAAAGGCAGCGGGACCAGACCGTAAATTACACGGAGCCTCCCGAGGGTTCAGAGTAATATTACATTTATAATCGTGACTCCACTCTTGTCATTGTCATGCAGTCTCATTTTTCTGTGATTTTTTTTTTTTTTTCCTCCTGAGGGTGGTGTTTAAAAACGTTTTGCCAAAATAAACCATTGTTGTCAAGTTGCCCCACAGGAACAGAATGGAAGGAGAATTGAGCAGACTGGAAATTCACACTCCAGTTTTTGACAAGAAAAAGAAAAAGCACTCTGTATATAAGGAAGGCCATCTGAGGCATCCCCATGAAAGTGTCAGAGACTCCCCCCTGGCAAGCGAGCCGTCTCACGGAACCAAGAGTAAAAAAAAAAGAAAGGATGGCCAGCATCTCCTTCCTCCCCCTTTGGAAAAATCAGAAATTTGTGATGAGATGGAAAAGGCCACTTCTAAACCCAAAAAGAATAAAAAGAAAAGGCATAAGGCTTCAGAGATGGATGAGGAAACAGGTGTGGTGTATGTCGTGGTGGATAAAGAAAATATCGAGAACACGCCAAAGAATTTTAGGAGGGACGTTGACGTCGTGTATGTTGACGTGAGCCAGGAACAGAAGCCAACAAAAGAGTCTGAAGCAGACGAACCGCATTCAGTTCCAAAGTCACAGAAGAACGAGTCGGAAGAGCTGCACCATAAAGTTAGGGAGAGAAAGAGGAGAAAACATCAGAGGCACATGGCCTCCTGGGGTGCCGAGCAGGAGAGCCTTGCCGCCCTGCCTGAGTCGGAGCCCTGGGAGCAGGAAACCCCACTTTCTGTGGGCCCAGGAGGTGGAATCCCACAACAACCAGTATCAGCTGATAAAAAAAAGTCTAAGAAAAAAAAGCGAAAAATTGCACATGACCAGGAACTGGAGGCATTGCCCGGGCATGAGAGTCTCGAGGTTGCGTACTCTGAGGGATGGCAAGGGGTCAGCGAGGTCGGGACTGCAGAAGGCAGTAAGGAAGCCGGCCGGGTAAAGAAAAAGTCTAAGAAAAGGAAGCGAAGGGCTTCTGTTGAAGGTCCTGTAACTCCTGGGGGTGATTTTGCAGGGCCTGCTGCAAGCTTTGAGGACACACACTCGGATTCACTGGAACGTAGCAGTGCCCTGATTGAAGAAAGCGTGAAACCCAGGCCACAAGAGAAGAAAACCCAGGCCTGTTTGGGAGAGGAGCAGAGGTAATGTGAGAGTGCCGTGTGTTCCGGTGTGTTTGTCTTCTGTGTGAATTCTGCCTGTGACCTCTTTATCCAGCACGCTTGTAGTAGATGGCAGGATTCATAGACACTGGATGGGTGAGTTGGATAGAACAATGTATATACATTGTAACAGAGTAACTTGGCAGGAACTTCTTTTCTTCATGTATAAAGTAGGGCAGTTAGATGAGGTTTTTACTGAGAACTATTCCAGCCCTGAAATTCTACAAAAAAGTTTAAAAGGGCATTTTAAGGGGCGCCTGGGTGGCTCACTGGGTTAAAACCTCTGCATTCGGCTCAGGTCATGATCTCGGGGTCCTGGGATTGAGCCCCGCATCGGGCTCTCTGCTCAGTGGGGAGCCTGCTTCCTCCTCTGTCTCTCTGCCTGCTTCTCTGACTACTTCTGATCTCTGTTTGTCAAATAAATAAAGTCTTTAAAAAAAAAAAATAACGTAAAATTCTTAAAAAAAAAAAAGGCATTTTAAGTCCCCCACATTACCTTTGTTTGTCCATACGCATATACATAGAGAAAAGAATTACATTGAATTTTTACAGAGCAGGAAAAAACCTTGAATTAGGGTTCTCCATAATAAAAGAAATTTAGATGTCATTATTTATATAATTACTGTTTAAGTTAGCTGCCGATATAATAAGCACAGCGTGTTTTTTTTTTAATTTAACAGGTTTTTTTAAGGATTTTATTTATTTATTTGGCAGACAGAGATCACAGGTACGCAGAGAGGCAGGCAGAGAGAGAGGAGGAGGTAGGCTCCCCGCTGAGCAGAGAGCCCAATGCAGGGCTTGATCCCAGGACGTCGGGATCGTGACCTGAGCCGAAGGCAGAGGCTTTAACCCACTGAGCCACCCATGTGCCCCCAATTTAGCAGTTTTTTAAGCCACATTATCGTTATGGGTTCCTAGGACTTGGGACAGATTTTTCTCTCCATTTTTACTCAATAGCTTTTTTTTTTTTTTTTTTTTTTTTAAAAACATTTGTTAGGTTGTCCTGGCCTAAAATAGTTCCACCAAGAAGTTCATTGGGAGAGGATGGCAATTCATCTTCTGGTGGTATCAGAGTGGCCCACTCACTCACCTTCTATCATCAGGGCTAATACTGCTATGAGGCAGGCATGTCGAGGGCAGTGGTTTTGAACTTGTACTGGGCTGTGGGCCCTGTGAAAGCTGCTGACCCTTTGTTCAGACAAATGCATAATAATTTTTAAAGTTTCCTGCCTGTCTGGCTCGCTGATAGGATTGAGCACAGTAAGGGGATTCGGACATCTGGAGGAAAGTTTGGGGATGAATTAGTGACAGGTGCATAGAAAACTAAGCAGAGGGGGAAGATGTGGCCATTGTTACCTGCAGCAAAGCAACTGTAACCATAGGGACCCCGAATGGTGATTTAATTAATTAGTAACTATTATCACAAAAATTAAAATCCCTAGAAGGGTTGCGGGGGAGGTGTCTTTAGTGTCCATGGGGTAGAAGAGGGCTTAGCTCATTAGGAAGTCAGTGTCTAAAGCCAGAAAAGTTGGGAAGTAGTGCCCCAAGAACTAACACGTGCTGAAAATCAGGCTTCAGGCCACACGGGTCCCTGGTAGGCTGCCTCTGAGTCCTGCGCCCGTTAGTCACATTACCTGAGTCCACGTGTCACAGACCGAATCGCTCCAGTGTCCCTCCTAGCGTTAGCACCAGCCTTGTCTCCATGAGGCTCCTTTTCAGAAAAGAACTGGAAAGCCACGAGGGCAGGTGACAGGTGAACGTGAGTCAACTCCGTTTTCCCCGCAGGTCGGAACCAACAAATGAAGAGGAAAGCCGTTTGGAATTGGCCAAAGATTCTGAAACAAGATACTTATCAGAAGACTCGAGAGATTTGGGTGACTTGGATGTGGACTTGGACTCCGCCGTGAGGCAGCTCCAGGAGTTCATCCCGGACATCAAGGAGAGGGCCGCCACCACCATCAAGCGGATGTACCGGGATGACTTGGGGCGGTTTAAGGAGTTTAAAGCCCAGGGTGAGCTGGTGGCACTTTAATATTTGTCGAACTTGCCTGTCCACCTAGGAGCTCCTGCCTTTGTTCTGTGAATATTGCAGATTTCTAGAGTTGCAGGAAGCATCCTCTAGGCTCCTTCCAGAATTGTTGTCCGAGCCATAAAATGCACAAAATGAAGGGCCCTGGTTTTGCTCTTCTCCACCTCGCTGCTGGTAGGAAAGAAGAGGAAGAAGAGGCTGGGTGGCTGAGCCCTTGGGGAAGATGCGGGAATAAAAGAATGAAAATACTATTGTCAGCTTTGATGAGCTGCAGCTTCTTTCCTGAGGCATTGAGTGAAGGCTAAGCCAATTGTAGTGGCCTTGGTTCCCACGAGACCCAGCATGGCCTTTTTTTTTTTTTTTTTTTTTTTAAGATTTTATTTATTTGACAGAGATCACAGGCAGAGAGGCAGGCAGAGACAGAGGGGGAAGCAGGCTCCCCACTGAGCAGAGAGCCCGATGTGGGGCTCGATCCCAGGGCTCTGGGACCATGACCTGAGTGGAAGGCAGAGGCTTTAACCCACTGAGCCACCCAGGCGCCCCATGGCCTCCTTCTTGATTTCACTGTGTTGTAAGAACCTCCCAGAAAGCTTATGGAATTCTAGTCAACTACACATTGAAGGCTGTGTGCTCCAAACAAGTGATACTGAGTGGCTGTGTGAGGCCCAGTATGGCTGGTCACTGTGAAAAGTAAAATGTGGAGCCTTGGGGAGTTAATCGTGGTGAAGAGATTGGTTTTAAAAAATAGCCAAGTTAAGGAAGAAACAAGTAATTCACAGAGCAGTAGCTATAGAATGGTCCCAGTTCTACTTGTGTATTCTCTGTGCAAACATTTGTGAGTGTGTATCTTATAAAAGATACTCTTGAAGTAAGTCTAAGAATAGAAAAACACAGTATGGGGATACCTGGGTGGCTCAGTTGGTTAAGCAGCTGCCTTCGGCTCAGGTCATGATCCCAGCGTCTTGGGATCGAGTCCCACATCAGGTTCCTTGCTCTGCAGGGAGCCTGCTTCTCCCTCTGCCTCTGCCTATTGCTCTGCCTGCCTGTACTCCCTCTCTCTCTCTGACAAATAAATAAATAAAATCTTTAAAAAAAAAAAAAAGAAAAGAAAGAAAGAAAAACACAGTATTTAAGATCGTCAGTACATAATAAAATTTGGTTGATTTGAATTACAAAGAGGACTAGCTTGGATCCCATTGCTACCCCCACCCCCCATACATATGCACAGAGAACATATGCGAATATTTGAGTCCTTGCTGGCTAGTTCCTACCATCGCCTTGGGGGGACTTGGGGGGAGGAGCGAGGCAGAAGAGAGTAAACAGGAGGTTTCTTTTAAAAGTTTATTTCCGTACTGCTTGAATTTTTAAATGAACATATATTGCTTTTTAATATAAAGAACAACTCTTCAAAAAGCTGATTGATAAATGGGGAAGGACGCTTTGGAAGAGGATGACCTGGGAAGACTTTGGGAGAGAAGGGTCCGGGGTTGTGCAGGGCAGGGGAGCTAAGGTCAAGTGCACAGCTGGGGCTGTTCCCAGCAGGGGGGAGCTGCCAAGCCACTGTGTCAACTGCTGAAGACCAGGTGGTACGTTTGCTTTTTCTCTGTGATTGACAATGCATGCTTTTTCTCCCCGCCCAAATTCTAGGTGTCGCTATTAGATTTGGCAAGTTTTCTGTAAAGGAAAACAAGCAGTTAGAGAAAAATGTGCAAGACTTTCTGTCCCTGACAGGAATTGAGAATGCCGACAAGCTGCTGTACACAGACAGATACCCAGAGGAGAAATCTGTGATCACCGACTTAAAAAGAAAATACGCATTTCGATTGCATATTGGTAAGTTTCAATTGGCCCTCCACAGCCTTCCAGCCCTAAGCGCAGAGCCCACGGCGGGAATCATTTAGCACAGTGCCTGGCCCAGTCAGCGTGCACGAGGCGTGCTACCTGCTGCCATGCAGCCTGCACTTTTGAGGATTTGGAATGTGTTCGTGTCTCTCAAGTGTAGTGTTTTTACAGACTTTACAAAAAGTGACACGATCAACTTCTAGCTTTCCTACTTGGTAATAAGTATCATTTTGGTTTCTCTTTATTTATCTGTTTATTCTTGATTATGTGTTGTTTCGCATATGCTGCCCAGAGCACACTTTTTAAGATTTTATTTACTTATTTATTAGGGAGTGTGGGGAGGGGCCAGAGGGAGAGAGAATCTCAAGCAGACTCCGTGCTGAGCACAGAGCATGAAGCCGGACTCGATCTCACGACGCTGAGATCATGACCTGAGCTGAAATCAAGAGTCAGACACCCAAGGGAGTCTGCGTGGCTCAGTGGGTTAAGCCTCTGACTTCAGCTCAGGTCATGATCTCAGGGTCCTGGGATCGCAGGGAGCCTGCTTCTCCCTCTCTCTCTGCCTGCCTCTCTGCCTACTTGTGATCTCCATCTGTCAAATAAATAAATAAAATTTCAAAAAATAAAGAGTCAGACGCCCAACCGACTGTGCCACCCAGGCACTCCAAAGCATGTTCTGATATGCACCAGGATCTTCGAAGTTTTCTGAGTATAGCCTTATCTGTGCTTTGTGTCTGGAACCCTCCTCCTACAGCCTTGCTTGGAAAGTGAGAGAGTCTTGCAGCAACATGGGATTGGACTGAAAAAAATCCTTGAATTTAAAGAGGATGATTTCTTAGGTGTTCTCCGGCATGTGCAAGGGGAAGCAGGCCAGGGGCCCCCTGTTGAGGGGCTGTTCCATCCCTAGAGTGAGGAAGAAAGCCAGTCTTGCTGGATTACAAAGCTCTTCGTCTTAATGGAGAACTGTTGGCATGTGTCCCCCACCTTCGCATCCTTTCCTCTTGATTCAAATTTTGTTAACATTACATTGCTGTATAAGGGCTTTTCACTGAAATTTAGTAGACCAAGCTGGAGCCTTGATGTATTAAGTGTGTTGTTTCCAGAGCTCTCCAAGGAGACTGGAGATTCTGTGCGGAACGTGTGAAATCCCAGCCTTGACACAGGGTCTAGGGTAGTGGTGGTAACAGGAGCCACGCTGGGTTCCTTTTCCACTTGTGACTCCATTCCAGGCTCTGCCCTGTGGGCCCCTCTGACTGCCTTTCTTCTGACTTTAGGAAAGGGCATTGCCCGGCCTTGGAAACTCGTTTACTATCGAGCAAAGAAGATGTTTGATGTCAACAATTACAAAGGGAGGTAAGAAAAGGTTTTAGCATCTGAGACAGAACATTTTTGCTGATCGTGTAAATTAAAACGTCCACAACAGATGAAAGGTAAAAAGCTATAAAGACTGTGTGTGTGAAGGTAGACTGTGTGTCTGTTGTCAGTGGTATGTCCTCAAAGCCCATTTCGGTTTCTGCCTCTTGATTAACATTTGTGCTGTTCCCCTTTCTAAATCCATGGCTTTTCTTTATACTTTCCTTGGCCCTCAGCCTGCTGTGCCTCTTACATTATTTATGAGGTTTTCTTTGCTAGTTTGTGAGCTCCCTGTGTACCCAAACGTTCCTTTTGTTTTGTTTTTAAGCTTTTATTTATTTGAGAGGAAGAGACTGAGATAGCAAGAGAGAGCACAGGGAGGGGGGAGGAGAGGGAGAAGCAGTCTCCCAGCTGAACAGGGAGCCTGCCACAAGGCGCGATCCCAGGACCCTGAGATCATGACCCGAGCGGAAGGCAGACGCTTAACCAATGAACCCCATCAGATGTTCCCTTTCAATGCAATGGTTCCTTCAGCGCTCAGCCCAGTTCTTTGGGTTCTTAGTGAATATTTGAAATTCGGCTGAGCACTAAGGTAAGGTCACATAGGAGCAGGTCAGTACTGACCATACAGAGTGTCCTGGGGTGATGGTCATTCTCCTTTTCTCCCTAAGCAAAATACCCAATTATATCTTTTTCCGAACATTCCAGATAAAAGCTGTGTGGATCAGGTGTCGGCTGTGGGTGAGCACTCTGCCTCAGGCCAGAGGGTCAGGCAGCAAAGCATCTGCACCCCCCTCTGAGGGCGTAGCCCGCCAAGCAGCGGCTCAGCTACTCCTCTCACTCTGGAGGCGGATTTAGTAAATCTGACAGGCCCAGTTGACTTCTAGTTAGCTGCATGATTTTAAACCAATGCATACATATCCTCTGACCTCCAAGCACTGATACCATCTTGGTTTCTTAACTTTTGACCAAAAGAAAGAAACCGTCAGCAGAGGCAAAGGTTGCCCACAAACTAGTACCTGCCCTCCCCCTTTTCCCCCGGGCCCTGGGCTTGGGCATCTGTAGACAGAGCTTTAAGGAAATTCACTTAAGGTATCATGTGAAATGGGGCTTGAAAGAATGCTTTTGGCAAATGAATAGTGGCAGCTGAGGTGACATTTTTCTACCTGTGACATAAGCGTGGGAATGAAAGTTTTAGAGCAAGACAAGTCTGTCATTCCATTGAGAAAGTTCATTTGTTTGCACCACATGATTTGTGTGTGGTGACCATTTGCCCCTAAGAGTATCCTTCCTAAGTTAAGGAATTCTTAACTGGAAAAAAGAAAAAAAAAAAAAAAAACACACAGAAAGCCAAAAATCAAAGAATTTTGAGGCTCTGGGGGATGTCAGACATCAGTACACCTGTTTCCTCATTTTTATGCACTCACTTTCTCTCTGATGTCCTCCTTCGTATAGCTTCAAGGGTGCCTTTAAGTTTGATCTCAGAAAGAGGGGTGCCTGGGTGGCTCAGTTGATTAAGCATCTTTTTTCAGCTAAGGTCATGATCCTGGGGTCCTAGGATCAAGTCCCTCATCGGGCTCCTTGCTCGGCGGGAAGCCTGCTTCCCCCTCTGCCTGTTGCTCCCTGTGCTTGTGCTCGCATGCACGTGCTTTCTCTCTCGCTCACTGACGAATAAATAAAATATTAAAAATAAATAAAGGGAAAGATCCTGCTCGCCTTGAGAAGGAAACTACTAGAAAGCATGAGTCTTCGCAGTGAAGGATTACACGTCTCTACTTACCACGCTCTGCATTTGTAGATGACTTTCTGAGAGTGCTAGGAGTCAAGTGCTAGGAGAGTGCTAGGCCCTTATTGTCGGATGTAATTCTGCATCACCGTCATAGGGAACGGCCCTTCCCCGCTGGCACTTCCTGACGGCACTTGGGAGAAGAATGAGGCACAAACAAGTCAGTGGCAAGAGAAGGGGAACAGGGAACAACAGGAGAAAAGACTGTCGCCCCGGACAGGTCCTCAGTCCCGTAGTTATTAGATACAGACAGTAATCAACAAAGGAGCCGACGAAGGCTACAATTAATCATATGCCTTGTAGATAAACAAGAAGGAAGGCAAAATACATCTGGGCTAGCAGTAAAGCTTACAGTTGAGCAAGCACATTCAGAGGGCTCGTCTGGTTAGTCACAGGTGCTCCCTGGGGAAGGGGAGATAACGGGAGAACGAAGCAGGCGGCGTCCGCCTTCATCGGGCTGGCGGTCCCAGATGCTCGGCTTCAAGGACATCTATCGTCCTCTCCCCCAGAGGCCCGTTGCCAGCATGTGTTTTTGTTAAGGCCGTATCTAAACATGCTTGGTAACTAGTGTAATTTCTCACAGGTTCTATTGTAAGTAATACATTGTTCTGAGGGACACTTACAGCCCCCTGTATTAAATTCTAGAATGCCCTAAGGATTGCTTTCCCTTCACTTAATTGCTTGTGTTTCATCTCCAAACCCACAGATAGTGTTTTCCGGTGCATTTCCTTAGTATATTTGTTTTTTGTTTTTCATTTTTAAAGATTTTATTTATTTATTTATTTATTTGACAGAGATCACAAGTAGGCAGAGAGGCAGGCAGAGAGAGAGGAGGAAACAGGCTCCCTGCTGAGCAGAGAGCCCGATGCAGGACTCGATCCCAAAACCCTGGGATCATGACCTGAGCCGAAGGCAGAGGCTTTAACCTGCTGAGCCACCCAGGTACCCCCAGTATATTTGTTTTCATGTGGGATGAGTGCACCGTACATTCCTTAAATAATTGTGCACTCATGTGAAGTCAGTGTCTGTTGTCTGTCAAGCTTTGCAGATACCGTGGTGTAGAAAACACCTACAAGGGCTCCAGCCCTTGTAGGATGTCCCCTCCAGACCTGTGCTGTGCCTCACGGTGGCCACCAGCCTCATGGGGTCGGGGAGCCCTTGAAATACATTCAGTCCAAGTTGAGAGGTGCCGTAAGGGTGGTGCCCATGCTGGAGTTGGAGGGAGAGAACGTAAAATACCTCATTAATGTGTTCGGATTCTGATTGCGTGTTGAAATGGCTGCATTTTTAATAGAATGGGTTAAGTCAAATATTTTATTAGGTTCATTAAAGTGAAATAAAAGTCATTTTTACGTGGCCACTACAAGGTTTAGTTGACGTGTATGGTGCATATTACGTTTCTGTTGGGCAGCAACTGGTCCAGAGGCAGAGACGGGCCAACAGGGGGACCCCTCAATGTCCAACCGCCCGTCCGGGGGGTGCAGTGAGAGGGGCAGGGCTTTCTCTGGGGGTGAGCGGGGCAGGGGGGTAGGGTGTTCAGGTATCCAGGCAGCCTCACAGATGATGGTCCACCTGCAGGGTTTGTAGGGGCCGTCCAGGCGGGTGGAGAAAGGCCGTTTCCACTGCAGCAGGAGGCCCTGAGAGGAAAAAGGCCTGAAGGCCAGTGGGGCTGAACCGTAAGGAGCGCCGGGCTCTGCAGGCACATGGAGGAGCTCGTGTTTGGTGTGCGCAGTGCAAAGCTTTTGGGGTTTGGATGGGGAATACGTGACCCAGTGACTTGCTCTGGCCCCTTTTTAGCTGAGCCAGGGCCCTGGCCTGGGACTGCAGTGACTCATAGGGTGACCACCGTGAGGCGCTGGGGCAGGAACTGACGGGACCATCTGCCGGACAACTTTTCCCAGGACCACTGCGAACCGCCATGAAAGTAGTTTTTAGTCTTTGTCCTTCGCTGGGAATTGTAACACGTTTTCACTTTTTCAGGTATAGCAAAGGAGACACAGAGAAGTTAAAGATATACCATTCCCTGCATGGGAACGACTGGAAAAAGATCGGCGAGATGGTTGCTCGGAGCAGCCTCTCTGTCGCCCTGAAGTTCTCCCAGATCAGCAGTCGTAAGTGGGGGTCTTGGTGCCCCCCCGGGTGAGCGGATGAGCCCCTGCGCCCCGCCCCGCCCCGGTGCAGGCCTCCTTGCGGGCTTGTCTGCGGAGAGAGCTGTCGTGTTTTAAGCCAGTCTCTGTACGGATTCACTGCGTTTCCTCCTGAGTGCTCCTGAGACCACACGGCCTTCACTCCCAAGACCGATGGCGGCCGCACCTGAGGTCCCTTGGCGCCAGCCTGACCAAGACCCTAGGGAGCTGCGGGGGAGAGAGCCCACCAGAAGGCAGGGGAGGCTGTAGGGGCCAGAGTGCAGTTCGTTCGGCCTGTTAGGCAGGGACTTTAACAAAACCTCGTGTGTCTTTTTCTCCTTTTTCCTAAAAAGGAAAATTTCCTTGGGCATATTCCTTGCATCATAAAATCCGCAGCTGCTCCAAGAAGACAGTCCACAGGCAGTGTCTCCGTCCGCACGGGGCGGGGCGATGTGCTCTGTCACGTGGCAGAGCTGCGCCGTGGGGCAGAGCGGCCGGGCGGCCCGGGCCCTGGGGCCATGCCTTTTGTGCTCCCACGTCCAGCCACTAGCGCCACGTGAGGACTCGGTGTGGCCAGTACTTCCGGTTTCCAGGAAGTAAAGCAAAAGTTTGCATTGAGGGATGGGGGTATGTGCATGTGTTGGGGGGGGTGATCTACGTATTTTTTTTTCCTTTTGGAACTCTTGATTTTTAAATATTCACCGAAATGGTTGAGAAAAAGTAATAACACCACTCTGTGCGCCAGATCAGATAGTCGTAGACTGCTGGTTTGAGGCGTCTTCCTTTGCCTGATGGTGACCCCCTAGATGAGGAGGATGAACCACCGATGGTCTGATGCTCTCTCAGAGGCCAATTTGAGGTTCAGGGGTCTTTGTCCCTGTGATCTGAGGCCCCATTTGCTGCTTAGTGCCACACTGGGAGTTCCTGGGAAGAGTTAGGGTGGCAGCGTGAAATCGTTCAGTTATTTTTGTCCCCGTTAAATGTTTGAGAATCTACCAGTTTCACACAAGAGACATTACTGTCAGAAATGAGAAGAACATTTTTTTGAAGTTAAGAAACAAACATTGCTTTAAGAAAGGACTTTTCTGGCATTGGTTCTTTTTTTTTTTTTTTTAAGATTTTATTTATTTATTTGAGAGACGGAGATCACAAGTAGGCAGAGAGGCAGGCAGGGGACTGGGGGAAGGAGGCTTCTGGCTGAGCAGAGAGCCCGATGTGGGGCTCGGTCCCAGGACCCTGGGATCTCACCTGAGCTGAAGGCAGAGGCTTTAACCCACTGAGCCACCCAGGCGCCCCCAGTTTTGTTTTTTTTTTTAAGAGTTATTTATTCGAGAGAGAGTATGCACAAGCAGAGAGGGTGGTGGGCAGGGGGAGATAATAGCCAAGCAGACTCCTGCTGAGTGTGGAGCCCGATGCAGGGCTCGATCTCACGAGCCGTGCCATGATGTCAGGACCTGAGCTAAATCCAAGAGCGATGCTTAACCAGCTGAGCCGCCCAGGTGCGCCTCACATTGGTTCTTAAAAAGAAGGGGTTCTGCTTTAATTTCCATCTAGCTGTGTTTGATAGCTGTATGTCTGTGTCATCAAGATGTTGCGCTCCATCATCTGAAAAGTGCCTGGTTTATTATTTTTTTCAAGGGTTTATTTTTTTTTTTTTAGAGAGAAGGAGAGAGAGAGTACGTGGGGGGAGGAGCAGAAGGAGAGGGAAAGAGAGAATCTCAAGCAGATTCCACACTCAGTGCAGAGCCTGACGCAGGACTGGATCTCATGACCCCCAGATCATGACCTGAGCCAAAATCATGAGTCAGACGCTTAACAGACTGAATCACTCAGGTGCCCCTTTAAGACTTTATTTGTTTAGAGCAGCTTTGGGTTTGCAATAAAATTGGAAGGGAGATGCAGAGATTTCCCATAGCAGTCTACCCCCACATACAGCCTCTGCCATTGTCAGCATCTCCCCCCAAGATTGGGACCTTGGTTCCAGTCCGTGACCCTACACTGCCACGTCATCATCTTCCAGGGTCCATAGTTCACGTCAGGATCCCCCCGCCCCCCCGGTGGTGGTGTCTGTGCTGTGGCTTTGGACAAGTGTGTAATGACGTGTATGCATCATTGTCATTTTTTTTTTTTTAACACCGTGCTTGAAAACAAATAGATTAGCAACTATAAGATCGTTTCTTTTGGGTCTGTAGCGAGAAATCATGGTGCTTGGAGTAAGACGGAAACCCAGAAACTAATCAAGGCCGTCGAAGAAGTGATTCTAAAGAAAATGTCTCCCCACGAGTTAAAGGAAGTGGATTCTAAACTCCAAGAAAACCCCGAAGGCCGCCTGTCCATCGTGAGGGAGAAACTCTACAAGGGCATATCTTGGGTAGAAGTAGAAGCCAAAGTAGAAACCAGAAATTGGATGCAGTGTAAAAGTAAGTGGTAAGTTTTAAGGTTTCTTATGTAAATTTCCACAAGACAGTTCCCTCCCCCCTCCCCACACCTCGCACACAGCCGGAGTGGGTACATGAGTGGGCTTAGTAGGGAGAGCTGTGTCAGTACCGTGTGCAAAGCCTTCATGTCAGGAAGGCTCATCTCCGGCAGCCGTCCCAGCCCCTTCAGTGTCCACATCCGATCTAAGTTAGCACATAACTAACCCTGATTCATCGTGTGGTTTTCTCCAAGGCTTGAACCTTTTTAATACTGAATATTGGCTTTTGGTTTCTTCCTTGAGTTCTGGTTTCTTCACTCTGTCCCTTGCTAAGTCTTTAGTAAAACAAAACAGTTCTCTCTGCAGCATTAAAAAACAAACGAAAACAACAGGAAACTCCCCTTTGGCAGAGAGATCACAAGCACTTGATGTGCAGGAACTTGCCCCTCCCCTGAGCCTGTCTCCGCTGGGGACCCCTCTAGCCTCACTGACGCGAGGTGGCTATATTCACTGCAGAACTTCTTGAGACTCGCTAGTCACACAGAAGCATTTTCAGGCCTGATCTCGCTGCGACTTCTTAGCTTGACGTGGCTTTTTCGAGCCCCAGAGGGTCTCTGAGCGGGATGTTCCGCTACTGCAGGAGCTCCTGGAGCGGTGGTCCCGCAGCTCACGACCCACGCCTGGTGCAGAAAGTGGGTGTGGTCATTGTCAGCATCAGATAAGAGAGCCACAGTAGGTATGTTTTATGTTAAAAGCACATTCCTGAATTACACCATTTATTGTTACCTTGGAAGTTTGCTGTGGGATTATCTCTATTTCCATAGGAGACTACAGTCAGGGGCATGACTCCATAGAACAGATAACGTGTTGGGGAAGGAAGAGTGTAACACAGAGGAACCAGAGTCCTTTCTGCCCTTGGAGTTTATAAAAGGAGTGTTTGCTAGCATCAGTCAGAGATGATTGATCGGTGCTTAAAAGGGAAGTGCTATAGAGAAACCCCGTATCAGGAGCGGTGTAATTCAGATAACGCGTAAGGGTTATGGCTTTTGAACGAGAAGAGAAAAGCAACAAACTTAAAATCTGAATGTAGATTTCCCTCACATACATGGGAATGACCGCAGATGGTACATGTCTTTTTTCTTTTTTTTTTTTTTTGAAGATGGATTTATTAGAGAGCGTGGGGGAAGGGGAGAGGCAGAGGGAGAGTGGGAGAGAGTCCAAAGCAGACTCCTTCCCGAGCTGATCTCACAACCCTGAGATCACGACTTGAGCTGAGACCAAGAGTCAGATGCTCACCTGCCCCCCACAGGCGCCCCAAAGGCTGCATCTCGAACGAACGCATTGGCCGCTGGTACAAACAGCAGAGTCCTCGCCAGTGTATCGTGGACCCCCTACTCCAGAATGTAACAGCTCGCGATCTGCCGTCAGATCGCGACACACTTTGCGATTTGAGATGAGTACTTAAAACATACTTCGAGCTGGGTTGCTGCTCTCGTTAGGAGCTCCGGTCACCCTTCCCTGCAGCCATTAGCTGTGGCCGTCAGAGGAGTCGTTGATGACTGTATCAAATCTCCCTGGGTGTTCCGACAGCTGGTGACAGTCCCAACAGCAGTGTCCCCCTGTTTTCTAAACAGGAACAGAGTTTACAGTTCCCCTTAGCACCTGCTAAAGGGCTTATTCTCCTCTCGTGTTTGTAACTTCGTATTACGGAAATTTCACAACACACAGATTTAGAACTCCTTGTATCCCTCATCTAGTTTCGATAACCATCAACTTTCTTTCATCTTATTTATCATCTGTCTTTTTTTTTTTAAAGGTTTTATTTATTTATTAGAGATCACAAGTAGGCAGAGAGGCAGGCAGATAGGAGGAGGCAGGCTCCCTGCCAAGCAGAGAGCCCGATGTGGGGCTCGATCCCAGGACCCTGGGACCATGACCTGAGCCAAAGGCAGAGGCTTTAACCCACTGAGCCACCCAGGCGCCCCTCATTTGCCTTTTAAAAGAAAAAAAAAATCAGCCTACTCTCCATGGTGGTCAGTGTTAGCAGTGATGAGTCATACAAGCTAGAGACTAGTTCTGAGTAGGGGTGTCGTAGGTGAGAAAAGTGCAGGAAATCACAGTGGAAACTTCACCCCTGAAAGTTTAAAGTACATTATGTGTGTGTTTCCTTGAACAGGACGGAAATCCTAACCAAGAGGATGACGAATGGTCGGGACGTGTACCGCGGAGTTAACGCTCTACAGGCCAAAATCAACCTCATCGAAAGGTGGGGAGCTCGAGCGCGGTGCTGCGGGGGCTGCTCCTCTCTCCGGCCAGAGAGTGGCTCTTGAGCACCAGGATCCACGTGGCCAAGGCTCAGATCCATCTTGCCTACCCGTATGGCCCTGGGGACGTTCCCTGCCTCTCTAGGTCTCGGTGTGTGCCTCTCCAGTGAGGGTGTTCATGATAGTACCTGCCTCTTGGGGTTATTGGGAGCAGAAATGAAATAACAGAGTGATTTTAGTCTTTGGAAGTTTCTGGGTAGGTAGAATTAGTTTCTGTCCTCTGGAAGGTGGAGGTGACGTAGCTCGGGCTGAGCCCCGCCACTGTCCTGCACGCCTAAGTGCAGTCGCTGTGGCCTGGTCTTTGGTTTTGTCTTTGGTCCCTTGTCCATGCGGAGTCCTCCCTCCGCTGAAGGCAGGGAGGCGCGGGCCTGTTTCGCAAAGCCTTCACGGCTCCTGGGCTGGGCTCGGGTCGAATGAGTAACAGCAAAAAGCAGAGGACACTTGGGATTCTGGCCACCCCCGTAGGGCTCCGTTCTTCCCGCGTGCTGTCCTGAGCCCCTCTGGAAGTTCTCCTCGCCGGCCTGACTCGTGGAGCCTCCACTTCTCTTCCCCCAGTGGCTCCAGCAGACCTGAGGAGCCACTGTGTCAGGCAAGCCTGGGCTCCAGGGATGGCAGCCCCTGTTAGTCGTGAAACCTTGAGCCACTGACTAGGGCCCTCGGCCCTGGTTCCTCCCCCGTAGACCGGAGATACTCGCCTGACCTCAGTAGCTGTGAAACTTTTCACACGGCTCTCTCCCACCATGAGGCCGGGTGCGTGCTTACTGTTACGATGTGTCTACACTCACTGTCGACTGTGGGGAGGCAACGCAGTTTGGTGGGAGCTGCAGAGGGCCCAGAAGGAGGAGAGATGGCTTTTCTTGTTGGGCTGCAGCTCACTGAATGACCTTGGGCTAACCTTGGGCTGGCAGGCCGACCTCGCCGGGCCTGAGGGAGCTGGGACAGGGGTGAACACGTTGGTGCCCCCAAGCGTTTCACACATGTGAGTCCGTGAAGGTGTCCATCGTGCTGACTTGTGCTTGAAAACCTCGTGTGTATTTTTTCCCGTAGACTGTATGAGATCAATGTGGAGGACACGAACGAGATAGACTGGGAAGACCTTGCTAGCGCCATAGGGTAAGACTGTGTGTTCATTGTGAGGCTAATTAAAAGGTAAGACGTGGCCTCACGAGTGACAGATTGGACAGGACTCGTGTGTACACTGTCCTGTGCATGCGTGTTTGGAGCCTCCGCTCTGGGTGCTGTGGGCCAGCCGGACTCTCCCTCCTCCCCTCCCCTCCCTGAGGACACGTAGGGATGGTGAGTGGAATGTGTGCAGAGTCTCCTGAGAGCTTCAAGGAGCTAACCAGTTGAATGACCGGTAGACACACCACACACCCTTTGCCCCAATTGGTATTTTCTTCTTAAGCCTGCACGTTAGCTCCACCATCCGCCCGCCCCCTCCCGCTCCCGTGTCTAAGGAAATAAAGTCATTTTCCTTCCTTAACCACTTGAGTGTTGGTGGTGGGCAGCGTGGCCTAAACGGGAATGTCATTCTGTGTAATCACAGTACGGTTGTCAGATGCAGGACATGAGACGCCGGGACAGCTCTGTGCTCTAAGACAGCTCACGTTCAAATGTCCCCACTAATGATGTCCCAGCAATGGCCCTTTTTTTTTTCCTTAAGATTTTATTTATTCATCAGAGCGCAAGCAGAGAGCGCGGGGGAGGGAGAAACAGGTTCCTTACCGAGCAGGGAGCCCAACTGCAGGGCTTGATCCCAGGACCCCAGGATCATGACATGAGCCAAAGGCAGATGCTTCACCGACTGAGCCCCCCAAGGCGTCCCATCCCAGTAATGGCCTTTATAGCATTTCCCCCCAATGTACCATCCAGTCCAGCGCCACACATTGAAGTGTCCTGTGTCTTCAGTGGCCTTCCATCGGTAAAGCTCTTCTGCCTTTGTCTTTGATGCCCTTGAAACTGTGGGCGAGCACAGGTCAGTGGTTTGTCGCTGCGTCGTGAGGCCCAAGATTCTGATTTCTAGTCCTTTGGCTCTGGTGGCATCTGGCACGTTCCCCACTGTATGAAAGTACCAGTTGTTCTCTTGGGGATAAGAAGGGGCCGTGGGAGATATTTTGAGACCATGTAAAGATCCTCTTCCTCTTCGAGCTCTCGGGGCGGTTCATTTGCATCTCTCATCTGTGCGGTGACGTTGAACTTTCCTGTGTTTGTGAGTTGCCTCCTTTTGCCTTCACTGGAAAACTTTGTTGCACAAGGTCCTTATATTTTGAATCCCTTCCTGCTACCGAAGACCGAGGCCACCACTGTCCATATCTGAATTTATTGCTTACAAAGCACGGCCCCTGTACACAGAGAAGATCATTGAGGGTTGTGGGGTGCGGGGATCGGGGGGGCTCTCAGAAGAGGGGTGTTAGGGGTTGTTTGGCCTTCAGTTTTGGAAGGGTGGATAGTAGGGCAGGGCGGCTGCCGCCTGGCTGACTTCAGAAGTGTGACGCTGTCCTTGGTCCACGAGGAAGGGCTTAAATTGGTTCTGGTGGTTATTTGCTCCTGGGGATCAGGGACAAAGAACAATCAGTTTGGTTTTCGTAACTTGGAGAATGGGAAGTTTGTCACGACCCAGACATCATGCTCATGGTTCCAAACCCTTCCCTTTTCCATTTGACATAAGTGAGAGATGGGGCTCCCACTGCTCAGAATTATGGGTCCCTGAGAGGTGGGGCTGGCAGGTACTTTTGAAAGTGGGGACCTTGCTCTGGACCCACCAGCTCCCATCCTGAGAAGCACCCATGGCTCCGAAGCCCTCCCTTTGTAACAGCAAACCACTTTTTGAAAAATTGGACGTTTCCAGTAAATTCTTGTGCATTTTGTGATGTTGCTTCAGATCACAAGTTCTTAAAGTTTTGAGTAAAATTATATATTTAAGAACAGATTGTCTCACTTAAGATTTATTAATCTTATAAAACGGTTATTATGGTGTCGTTCAAATACTGTTTGAAAGAATACGTTGTCAGGTTTTAATAATCAACACAGTGAAAAATAATAAAATGATATGTTCAGTCTCTTTGGAGTCTTAAAGCCTGCCTTGGGAATTATTTTGGCAAAATGTAAAGAAAGCGTGTCTGGCTAATGAGTTATAATGCCTGCTTGGTTTGAAAATGTCCAGATCCATGATCGTGACCTCAAGCCCTAGTTGGGTGCATGGCCAGTCCCATGGGGTGCATGGCACTACAGGAAGAGAGAGGGCGTGGGGGCCTTAGAACTTGGCCTCTGCTGTTGGACTGACCTGGCGTTGACTCCTGGTACTCATTTAGCCGTCCTCGGGCACGTTGTTCCTAACTTGTGTCTGAGTCTTGGTTTCTTCATCCACAAAATGTTTTAACGGGACCATTGCGAGGACCAAGGAGATTGCCCGTAGAGGACACGTAGCCCAGGGCACGCCCAGCTAGTGGTTAGTGTTAGGAAGAACCCAGTAAGAGTAAATGTATTCACATGAATTACTTTAACTACTAGATTAATTATTGAAACAAATAAGTCATGCTTTTGTCGTCTAAGAAAAAGTGGCCAGGAAGTGAAGAGATTTTCATTAAAAAAAAAAAAAAAAAAACCTTAAGATTTGGTGGTTTCTGTCCTACTTACAGTAAATTGCAAGTATATTTGACTCACTAAAACATCATAAGCATCTGCTTTTTTTTTAGTTTTGCAAAATTAGAAATCGGGGGTCATCTGCCTCTGGATTGTGACAGATAGGCGTTTGTCCTAAGTGCAGTGGTGACCAGTGTGTGGAGTTGGGGTCAGGCCACCTCGATGAAGTCCCGGCTCTATCACTTGTTAGCTGTAAGATCTTGGGCTGCTTCTGTATCCCTCAGTTTCCCCATCGCTAGAATGAGGCATAAGAGTAGTAGCTCCTCATAGAGCTGCTGTGTGGGTTGTTTTCGGCTAGACAGGAAACTCTTAGGGCAGGGCCAAGTACAAGGTGAACGTCAGCATATGTTAGTGTTGTGATTTAAACAGGATCTGTCTTGTGCTTTTCGCTTTCTTTTTTTGGTGTGTATTCTTCTGACCGAAATGAACGACAGCATTTTCATATGTGTCTTATTTCTGTCACGCATTTGTGGACATGATGGTTTCCTGTTCGGGATTAAGAAAGTTACTGATGTCTGTAGATTCCCCTGAATCAATGTACTTACTACATGTAGTGAAATGACCCGTTTTTAAACTGATACTTTTTTTTTTTCTTTTCCTTTCTAAAGTGATGTTCCTCCATCCTATGTTCAAACTAAATTTTATAAGCTGAAAGCTACCTGTGTTCCCTTTTGGCAGAAGAAGACTTTTCCAGGTCAGTATTTCCAGTATTTAAATACGTAAGAGGACAGCAGGTGGTGCGGGGTGCTGGCAGCGTGACCCTGGGGGCGACTTTACTTTTGGGAGTCTCGGTTTCTTCGGTTATAGAACGGGAGAAATCCTCACCTACTCAACCCCCCACCCCCAACCAGGGCTTTGAGAAGTTCTAAACCAGATAACAGGTGAATGGTGGTCAGCAGGGTGCTGGCGGCGTGGTCAGCCCTCAGTAAATGACGGAGTGCTCCTGGCCGGCCACACGCTGGCACACGCAGTTCCAGAACAAACCTGAGGTACCCAGTTCCTTCCTGGCAGCCCTTTGTGGGTGATCTCAATATTCCCAAACTCAGATCCTCTGAGTCCTCGTGGACCTTGTTGAACACATGCATACCCGGGCCTCATCCCATACATACTGAATCCTAACCTCCACGCTGCATCCAGAGGCCAGATTTCCCGAACAGGCTCCCAGGAGAGCCTCAAGCTGTCTGCCCAGCACCAGCATTTGGGAACCATGAGTTTGGGTGATGCTTTGCCCCGGCGTGTGTGATGATTACTTCTGACCCTCAGCAGACAGCCCTGCCTGGGTTTGAATCTGGCCACATTTGCCGCTACTAACTCCATGACCTTGGCCATGATTCATAACGTCTCTCCACCCGTTTCCTCATTTGAAGAATGGGCTGACAGCTGCCTCCTAGGATTTTGAGGGGACTAGTGAAATGAGTACAGGCAAACCGGTTAGAACAGGACCACGCACACAGTAACAGCAGCACCAGGCCACCCGCATCCGTGCCCTCTGCCCTTTGACCTTGGGATGGAGGTTTTGTACAAATGTCAAAATTACATTTTTTGTCTTTAGAGATTATAGACTACCTTTATGAGACCACCCTGCCTCTGCTTAAGGAAAAATTAGAGAAGAAGATGGAGAAAACGGGTACCGAAATCCAGAGTCCTGCGGTGCCCAGGCAAGTCTTCCTGTTCAGAGACATCTTTTATCTTGACGACGACAGTGAGGGAGAAGACGGGGAGGAGAGGAGGTAGGGGACAGTGTTGTGTCCTGTCCGCCTCTCCAGGTTTGGTTGGGTTCCTGTGCCTGGGGCAGAGCAGCTGCTTGCAGGACTGGTGTTTAATAGAGAAGGGGCGGCAGCCAGAGGAAGGGGACAACGGCCATGCTTCTTGTTACGGAGCCTCCGGAGTGACTCACCCCTTCAGACTCTGGTGTGTTTGCGCGCGCAGAGGAAGGGGAGCCTCGGAGTTGGTTTGCTACGGCTGGACCACTGAGGACAAGCACAACCGGTGGACTTTATGGAACAGTGTCCCCCGTCCCTCTCGTTGTGGCAGAGGGTAGAGTCACGTCCCACGAACGTTCCTTCTGTGGATTTCACCGCATGCACGCTCCCCAAAAGGGGCACCGCTGACAGTTTTAGTAAGGCACACCAGCAGGTTCCTTTCCGTTTCCCATTTGTTATCTCTGTTCCCAGAGTATGTAAGTGCGGGATAAGCATTGTGAGGGCGTGGATCTGCTGGTCTCTCAAACCGGCTTCTGTTGGCACGTCCCTGACTTGGTGCGCGGAGCTCCTCTTCCTCACGTGTTTTTGCATACAGGATGCCTTCTCGAAGCCAGTCGCTGAGTTCGTCTGGTGTTCCAGCTGGAAAAAAGAAATACCAAACCACAAACCCAGCAGTCTCTTCCACTGCTTCCAGAAAATCTAGCTCTGTTACACTTGTGGAAAGATGCCACGTGGGTCTAAGGCACAGCTCACACCTCTTGGAATTGCGAATCGCAAGGATAATTTACATGTTGGGCTATTCTGTCAAGTTGGGCAAATGAAACCACTCTAGGTGTTTCGAACAGAGAAGGATTTGGTGCAGGAATTAGGTTACAAAACTGTTAAACAGGATTGAGCGCACATGGGAAGGCTGACTTCCCGAGCCCTGGGGGACTGAGGGGAGTTGCTGCAGCCCCTGGTGGGCCCCCACCCCGGTCCCCCCACCACCACTGCTGCCTCTGCCATCTCTGGGTTGTGTCCTGCCTCCCTCCTGCCTTCCAGCGTCTCCCGAGTGCCTCCCACGGGCCGCCCCTCAGCAGAACCCTGCCGGCAAGGGGAAGGAGCGTTCCAGGCTCCTGGCCACACGTGAACATGGAAGGGCGGGTGAGCGAGGTCCCAGGCAGCCATGTCCCCATCTGTGCCAAGACAGAACTCCACCGTCTCCTGAGCGTTCTGCCTGATGTCATTTATCTCCCATCGTGATGTCTGTGCCTTCGGTTAATTTCATCCACAAAGCTAGACATTTTTCCAAAGCAGCCGTACTTGGAGAAGGAAGAAATACAGAGACAATTCTAGGAGGCTGGCCAGCGGCATGTCCCCAGCACCTGTCACCCTGGTTGCACGCGTAAGAGACACTCAGTACATATGCAGCAAACAACTGGGATATTTTTAGCAAGCATTTTACCTTTAGTCACTTCCTGTCTGTCTGTCAAATCTGCCCCATGAAGACGGGAATGAAAGTTCCTTTTGGAGGACAGTCCAGTGAAATATATCAGGGCCTTAAGAATGTATTTTATGATCTAGCGATTTCATTATAGAGATAAAGCAGATTCACTTTCCAGAAATAAAAAAACTCGTGTGTATGAAAGGCAGACAAAAATGTATATGTTCCTTAATGGAAATCTGTTAAATTATGGTATATTTCTAGAATGGGATATTATCCAGTAATTAAAAATGATTGTGATAGATTGGGTCAACATGAAAAGTAAACAATATTATCAACTAAAATATTTCAGAAGAATATATATTTTCAGTTTTATAAAAGTAAGAAAGGAAATGATGTATACATAGATGCATTAAAATGTACGGGAGAAATTAAAACTGTAATGTCAACAGTGTTTCTCTCGGGGCAGTGGGACTGTGAATTTATAGGGTGGAATTTTGGATTTGCAAGTGCCAGAAAATGGGACCCACATGGATCTAAGGAATCGGGGGACTATAAGGACTGACGCAGCAACTCGTGGTCACCAAAGATGGGGTTTCTGGTGGATTCTCTGCTCCCCCTTCGCCATTGTCCATCTCAGCATCTGTCCGCACACGGGGGCCCCTTCCCATAGTCACGTGCTTTGGCGGACCTGCTGCCCCTGCAGAGGAAGGGGAAAAGGTCTCTTCCAATGGCTCTTGATTAAGCCCGGGGTTCTGCTCCCTGTGCCCAAATTAGGGTCTGTGCCCGGCTCTGAACCATCGCTGGAGCCTCGAAGGCAAGACTGTGTTCAGCCGGTCTGGGCTCAGCTCTGGAGCTGGGATTGAGCGCAGCACGCCCGGAGCGGCTGAGAGAGTAAAAAGCCCAGTGGGAAACCAGGGTCCCATCAGCAGAGGAGAGGAAGGGCACTCCAAGAAGCAGCCCACAGGTGTGCGTTGACCGTGGGTGTGCTCCTGTCAGTGCTGTGAATCGCCCAATAAACTTGTGTACTTTTTGTAAAAGTTCTATTTTTGTAATTTTTTCTCATCGATATCTCCATGCCTACCCCCTCCCCGAAAAAAACTGCGCCAGACAAAGGTCTTTGCTGAACACTTTTTACATACAAGAGTCCAGGAGTATGGAAGAAAAAGAAGGGTAGGGTCGTAGACTGTACATATCGAATGCAGGTCCAGGCGAAGAGAGGATTGTGCGGGAAACCGTGCCTTTACTCTGGGCTCTGCGGGCTGTGCGGAGACCCCTGGGCTGCGGCACGAGCAGCAGCCCGGCGAGAGAGGCGGGTCTGTCCACTCCACGCGGGTGAGGGCTGAGCCGTGAAGCGGACCGGCCCAGTTTAGTCTGAAAAGAGGGAAAGTTGTGTAAGGGCCATACTTGGGAGGATGTCAGACCAAGACCCCGTTTCTCCTCCACGCCACTTGCAGTTCCACGGGTTTGACCACACGGTGAGTTGGGCTCTACTAGGAGCCAAAGATGCCAGAGGGAGCCGTGCAGACTTGCAGGCGACACGATCTGGAGCTTGCTGAACGCCGTGGCCCGTTCATCTCCTGAAATACACGCCGGTCCTAATCTGACCTCATCAAACAGCGCATCCATCCACCAGTTGGCTCAGAGCCTGACCAAGCTGTCACCAAGTCTGTTGTTACCGCCTCTCTCTTCCCAACACCCTCTGCTCTGTATTCTCTTCCTTGGTGGCACGTCCCTGTTCAAGATGCCACGCCTGGGTGGGCCCTTCCATCTGCCTCCTTGCCCCCAACAGGTGACTACTTCTGGAAGAAAACCCCGCAGCTGGGTAGTTAAGTATCTGCCTTCAGCTCAGGTCATGATGCCAAGGTCCTGGGATCGAGCCCCGCATTGGATCCCCTGCTCAGTGGGAAGCCTGGCTGTCCTCGGTCTCTCTCTAATAAATAAAATCTTTGGGGGGAGGGGGAAGAAAACCGCTGAGCTGGCTGATTTCACTTTAGTGACTGTCAGCCTCAGACACTGTCACCAGAGGATCTGCTTTGATTGTCTGATACATTTGCTGTTCTTTCCCCCACATCAGCCGTTATGCCTTCAGCCCTCCTACACTCTTCTGCCCTTTTCATGATTCACTGAACAGGTTGAAGGCGGTGGACATCAACTCCCTCTTCCCTGCACCCACCAGGTGAACCTGCCTCCATCTGCACGTGCTCCTCCTGCCAGAAGCTGTGCCCGCGCCTGAGCCAAAGTCTGCCCTTTACTTTGTCTCGGAGATTGTGATCTTTTGCTGATCCCTCCGGTAACTTGTCAGTCTCTCCTATTCTGGATCATCATGACTATAATCATGCTCCCAAATCATGCATATCTCTCCCTCTCGCGTGCACGCTCTGTGTGTGTGTGTGTGTGTGTGTGTGTTTGTATAAGTGTGGAATCAGCGCTTTCCTCTGTGCTCCCCCCGCCTCACCCAACTTCTAAATGTCCGTGGAGTAACCTCTGCGTGCCTTGGAGTAACCTCTGCGTGCGGACGGCTTCCAGTTGTGTGGTTAGAGATCAGATTCTCCCCTGAACTCCAGGCTAAAAAATGCATCTGCAGGTGTGGGGGTGAGGAGTGGGACTCCTGGCTGGTGCAGTCGGTAGAGCGTGCGCTGTGGTTCTCAGGGTTGTGAGTTTGAGCCCCATGTTGGGGGAAGAGATGACTTAATAAATAAAAGGTTTTTTTTGAAAAACGAAAACCACATCTGCTGACTTGTGTCTCACATCTTAAGTCTGACTTGTTAACAATGTTTTAGTCACCCACAGACACCTCAAAGTACGTCACCTGCCCAGGCTTTCTCATCTCTGCTGGTGGGATCACGTTCAGGGAGTTCACATCAGAAACCCAGGAACCATCCACTGTAACTGCCTCCATCCCTCTACTTCTAGTCCCTTAGCAAACCCATCCACTCCGCCTCCAGTCAGTCATCTGGAATCTGTCCACCCCTGCCACCGTCTGTCATGGTCTCAGACATCATCCCCTCTGAACAACACTGATCTCCCTCCTTCCACTACTGGCCCTTCTCCAGTCTCCTCCCACAGCTGCAGAATCGGTCACATCACACCACCCTGTTTAAAATTCATGATGTGGCTTCCCTGTGGGCTACCCTGCACTGTGGGCAATGGTCAAACCCTGTCATAGTGTCTTCAGAGGAATGGGTCCCAAGGCTGAGATCAAGATGTCCCCAGGGCTGCACTCTTCTGGAGGTTCTAGGAGAATCTGTCTCTTGCTCTTTCGGCTTTGTTGGAACAATTCAGTTCCTTGTGGTTGAGCTATTTTCTTGCTGGATGTGAACTCAAGGTCATTCCCAGCTTCTAGAGTTTACTGCACTCCTTGGCTCGTGGTCCGCTTCCTCCATCTTCAAAGCCAACAAAAAGGTCGAACCCTCATGTAGCTTCCCACTGATCCATTCTGCCTCAGTCGTTAGCATTAAGCTACATAGATTGGGCTCTTCTGGATAATCTCTCTGCTGTAAAATTGTTTGATTAGCAGCCTTAATTGTGATCTGCAAAGCTTTTTTGTCATGTCAGATTTATAGACTCTAGGGATTAGGATACGGTCACCTCTGGTGGACCAGTATTCTGCCTGCTACAGTCACCATTGACAATTACATGAAAAAGTATCACTTTCTTAGGAATGAATGTGCAAGTTCTCTGGGCAAAAGAAGTGTAAAATATCATTGGGAAAATTTTTAA